CCCTGATTTTTAAAGCACTTTACCATTTGCAGAGCACTTTGACATACCTGATTTCATTTAGTAGGCCCTAATATCTCTTTAAGGTAGATGTATCAAACCATTTTACAGGTGAGAAATCTAAGGCTCGGAGATTTAATGAGCTTTCCAAACTCAAAGCCAGGTCTTTGGACCTTAACACCTGTGATCTTTATATGACTTGGTGGTGTCTCAGATCCATGTCCTTGGACCTGTGATGGCTCCCTCTACCCCATTCTCTACTCCAAAGCAGGCAGTATATTTCTTATTGCTCCTTGTCTTAAAAAGAAAGAAAGAAAGAAAGAAAGAAATGCAGAAGTACATGCTCATTAAAAAAATCAAAACAATTTAGAAGTGTTACTACCCTACCTCCACCCCGCCATCACCAGAGATAACTGCTGCTGTTGGTCTTTTGGTGTATATGCTTCCAGACCTTTTCCTGTGTGTGAATGCACCTACATATATTATTTTTCTTTGTTGTGCAAGTATCACACAGCTCGGATTTTTGAGCTTTATAGTGTGTTTCATGAGTAGTCCAGGGCCAGCCTCTCATCACCCTTTCTAAAAACTCACCTTGGCTCTTCTTCCAGATGGCCTTTAGAGTCAACTTGCCAAATTCAGGAGGTAGGGGACCCTTTGGCATTTTTATTGGAGTTGCAGTAAATTTATAAATTGAGTTTTGTGGGGGTTTTTTTTATAGCAGCTTTATTGAGATGTAATTCATATACTGTACAATTCACCCATTTAAACTGTACAGCTCAATAGTTTTTAGTATACAGAGTTGTGTAAGCACCACCACAGTTTTAGAATATTTTTATCGCCCCAAAAAGAAACGCTGTACCTCTTAGCCATCAGCCCCAAGCCCCCCATTCCCTTTGCCCCTAGGCAACTGCTAATCTACTTTCTGTCTCTATGAATTTGCCTTTTCTCAACATTTCATAAAAATGGAATCATACTATGTGTGGTCTTTTGTGTCTGGCTTCTTTCACTTAACATAATTTTTTTATGTTTAGTTCCCCTTTATTATCAGACTATCTCTTCTAAACATAACCATTACTCAACACTTCCAACAGGAAAACCTAAGGGTAGGCCCTGACTTAGTCTTTAAAAGACAAGTTTGAGATTTAGAATTCTAGTGCATAAAAGTTCAGTTTTTGGTATTATCCTTAAAACAGAGTATGGTATTTTTTTAAAGATTTTTATTGGGGAGTTGGGGGAATGGGAACAG